TTACAGTAACTCATTATTATTATTATCATTATTATTAATATTATTATTACTATAATTATTTTGAATACATGCCTGGCCCTTGTGATTTACGACACTCGAATAACCATCCTTTCCCATGTTACATCCCCCAATAGGATGCACGGTTATTAAAGCATTTCCAGAAACTTGATTAGACCATAGTGGTGATGGAATATAAGTACCATTAATTTTATTTGTAGCATCTTTTAAGATATCGTTCAAATTTTTCACCATTTTAGTAAGCCCGGCACCATCATATTCAATATGAAGCCTATCATCACGTAATTCTAAGTAACCAGTGTTATCATCATGAGACATAATCAAATATGTTTGAGTATTTGCCATAGCACCTTTATAATTTGAAACACTAGAAGTAATTTTTCTCCAAGTTTTAGCCTTTGTTTCACTAGTGCTAGATTCATTAGCTAATTTTACATCAGCGCGATCATCAATGGCTCGAAGTAAAAAGTTGGAAGTATTGGCAACAGCATAAGGGATCACGCCTTCTTCAATTACATATCCATCCATGACATTAGAGCCCGAGTTACGCATGTCAATAATACCTGTGATAGTAGGACCAACAGGATCTTTAAAATCGGAAGGATTAAGATTTCCCATTGCGACTCCTAAAAATCATTATTAATAGTTTTATTAAAGAAAAATATGCATATCAAGCATATTTATATAATATAAATTATTTTTGTTTACCATTGCAATATAAATCAGTGTTATAGCCAAATCCCAAAATCTATAAACATTATAAACATTTAAAGTGAGAAAATGTGCAAAATTTTATTTTTTAAGATTGAAACGCAAACTTAAATACACACATCGCCATTTCCACTAAAATTTTGCCCTAATTGAGAACTAATTTCAAGTCCATTAGCTTGAGAACGAAGCAATATCTCATTGGTTCCAAAAGTACCAGCGGCAACAAAAACAATATCAGCAGTTACAAATGAGAGCAAGTTACGACTATCATCAGTAAATGCTCCTCGTCCTTTCTATTAAACAGAATGTAAGTAAAACAATTATATATCAAATATTAAGAGTGAATAATAATAATACATACATCAAGCCATTCATAAAACACGACCCATTTTTTACTTTTCTTATCTTGTTTAACGCGTTTAACATCAATTTTACAAAATATTTCACATCCATGATTCCAAGCATCAGGAATATAATTCATTAAAGTGGTGTTTTTACTTCCATCATTAACTCCAGTAGAATCGTTACCCGTCAAAGTGGATTTTCGTTGCCTAACACCAGCATTATTAATACGATCTTCAAAAGTGACAGTAATAGGTGTGCGTTTAAAATTTTCATGAAATTCTGGACCTAATCTTCTAGCCTGTTCTTCTAAAGTTTTAAGTTTTGGAAGTTCAGGGTAATTATCAGGATAAGGCACCGGCTCAAGCATCTCCCTGGCGCGTTCATAATCTTCATAAAGTAATTAAATTAAATAACGCGATTACTGCCATTACTGTGACGTCACAATAAATTCACGTGACGCACTTACTTTGTTTTATGCTATCAAAATCGTCCTGAATTTCCTTTGGCCAAGCAGACATTTGCCAAACACGTGGATCGGCCTCAAGAGCCACATTTGCGTTCAAAAGCGAGGTGCCTCCAAGTCTATAATAGACAAGAAAATCATTTACAAATTACATAAACGGTATGTTTATCAATTATCTTAACACTTACCCACATCCTACAAAAGCACTTTGACCAGATCCCTTATAAAAATGGTACATTCCGGTCCTTTCACCCCTATGTCCCGAAGCTGAACTATATTGTACATCTTTTAAACATTCAGTTAATTCACTTGGATATTCACCTGGCCATCTTTCCAGACCTGGTTAGAATGATCGATCAATAACTGTTATAAACAAATTGCTGTATTGATGCACATAATTACATATGTAAGCATAATTAAGAACGACATATGAAAATAATACCTTTTTCTAAAAGAGCTACTCTTTTGCCAGCTCGAGACATACGACATGCAGCAATAGCGCCACCATATCCTGATCCGATGACCACAACATCATAATGTGGTCTCATATAAGGAGCAGGAAGAGAAATATATCGTTTGCCATTTTCTTGCATTTTGTAGGATAAAAATACGAGACGTAATATAAGGTACGCTCGTGTTAAAATTTACCTGAAAAAAAAATATTTGGTTATTTTATTCTTTTTCAATTGTTTGTTATCCATTTTTATAAATATTAAAATAAACTATTGTAATCAAGAATATTCTCTAGCATCTAAAATAGTGGCAGTGATACAACAATAACCATTAGCGAACGTTTGTTTATTTTTGTATAACAAAAAAAAAAAATTTTCAGCAAACAAATTTAGTTAGACAACTATCGTGATATCACAGGAAAACGGAGTCCGGACTTGGTACAAGTGCCCAATAATGATTAAGGTAATGTATATCTTATCTGGTTTTTTTTCAGTACAACAGCATCCTCA